AAAAACCCACACAGGTACTGCTAAACTTGCCCTTACTCTTTGCACTCTCATCAAAGTGCTTCCAATTTCACACAACACGAATCCCTACTGCCACGCCAATCGTTGACATGCCCGAATTCAAACTATGATACACATTTCATTTAGAAGCCAGTGGCCATTTTTCACTCCCCTTGACCCTTTTTCTCGTTATTTTATTGCACAAAATATCCACAACTGTGGCTTCTAATTTAACATGTACCAATTAGCCCAACAATGTGCACTTCTATATGACATGAATCTTTGGTGGTTTAAAAGTCTTCTACAGTGATGCGGCATGCTATCTAGAGAAGTTAGCCATGTGTTTAGCCGTGATAGACGACACAGGCGCCACACCACACTACATCTGCCACACTTCACACTACAGATAGGCATCTGTCAGGGCTCTGCCACATTCCATCTCAATCATGACGAGGTTCCGGGACGCACAACCCCAATAATTATTCTAAGCGCTCCTCATTGTGTGGCTACAACTAATACGAAGTTCCCTACACGTCCGTCTCCTTTGTGTTCTAGCTCAAGAAAGTGGCGATTTGGGTTGGTTGGAACATGTCTCGTCTTGGCTATCCTAGTCTCGAAAAACCCACACAAATACCTCCAAACTTGCCAAAGGTAATTTTTCGCTCTTTCTGCCATCGTAAAAAAAATTAGAGGGGGGGGCATGGGCCTGGTGTGCCACCCCCTGGCTACGCCCTTGACTCTTTAGGCTCTCATCAAAGTGGCTCTGATTGACGGCAGAAAAGTGGGCTCTTTCTCCGGCCATTGTCCATGCCACGATAATATCACATGACCCCCTGTCAACATAGTGACAAACTCACAAGCTGCTTTTTGTGCCTACACGGAAAGACATGACCCCCTGTCAACATAGTGAGAGACTCACAAGCTGCTTGTCGTACCTACCCCGAAGGACTTGTGGCTGCACATAAACACAGTACCCCTTCTGTCTCGCCATCCGCATTATGTCTGGCGCATATTGCCTGGACTCCTGGGCACGCCTATCTCCATGGTAATGAACGCGTTCATGCAGTTGCCATAGGTCCGACCGGCCTGGCACCATTGGAGGAGCTGTTGAACTCGGACAACGCCCCAACAGAACCATTAAACTACAACGCCAAGCTGTACTGGCAGAGCCTTTATCCTCCTCCTCATCATTCACTTAACAGAGCAGATGCTATCGCTAGGTGGCAACTGCAGACCAATTCATTTCCTTGCCTCTGCATGCTAAACCACTTTCACACGACAGTGTACCACTTTACATGGAGATAGATGCTCTGCCCCTCAAGGAATTCCTACCACCCCAACTCGACCCCTTCCTCTTAGGAGTCTTCACTGCTCAGTTTGTGCCAGCAGGAACAGCAGTAGCTGGTCCAGTGGGCTCCAAGTGTTGTGCAAGGCAATGGAGCTCTGGACTGAGTGCTCCACCCAACGAAGGCTCTCTGTACATTCGCCATTAAAAGTTTATTTAAAGCACAAGTGCTGTACACAGGAAGCGGCATGAATAGTCATCCGTCGTTCAGTCATCTGATTTGTGGTAAGTAAGACACATCTGCATTTATACGTTTGTCATTGAAGGCAATAGCGTTATTGCTGGCGCTTGAGAGCTCTTGAATAAACTTGGCCATTCACATTCTGCGCAAGTTCTTAACATGATCTCTGACAATTGATTGACTGATTTGATTTATATGTGGGATTAAACATCCCAAAATCAACATATGATTATGAGAGATGCCGTAGTGGAGGGCTCCGGAAATTTTGACGACCTGCTGGGGTTTTTTAAAGGGACACTAAAGGCAACTATTAGGTCAACGTTGATTGTTGAAACAGTGGTCCGGAAACCTCATAGTGTTGCTTTTGTGCCAAGGAAGGGCTTATTTTGAAATAAAATCACGTTTTACGGGTCCCTATTGGGTTAGCAAACTTCAACTTACCCACCCTAAGAAGCGGACCATCTCAAATCACTGTTGCTGCGCACAACGCTGCCTGGCTTTACTACACGGCCGCTAACACTAGTAACAGCAGAACGAAAGCAGGGGGAGACACAGCAGCAATAACATTGGCTCTGATATGGCAGACGTGTTTTGGTTCAACTGGGCATGCTAGATGGCATGACCTGTCCAGTGTAACCATGCAAAAATTGAATTTTTTAACCACTTGCACCATTACCCATAATATCCAGCGATTCTTCTGTGAATCGAGCAGAAACGAACAAGCAGCATTTTATTGCGTCTCTTGATGCACGAAAGATTTTTTATTTGCGACAGCTAGATTGATTACTAAGGATTAATTATAGGCGGTTCATCTGACGTCATCGGGATTATGTTGGGAATGTCCTACTGCAACACATGTATTCTTGAGCATTTACCTTAATTTCTCGGCAAGTAGGGCACGGCTGTTAATAATATTGTTGTCTTAGATGTTGTCATGCATTGAGCTTTCATTCTTATGTCAATTGTTGTTCGCCTTTAGCGGCCCTTTAAAATGCACCGAAATCTAAGCACACGGGTCTACAGCAATTACGCCCGTAGCCACTAGACCACTGTGGCGGGGCGATCTCCGACAATGGCGAATATTTCTGCAGCTGGGTGTTTCACATTTATTATAAAAATGAGAAGATCTGTGCAAGAGTTAGAAAAATCTTGTCTCTCTTCGTCTTTCCCATTCCCACAATGTGTAGACAAAAATAGAGAGAGAGAGATAAAGATGCAAAGAAAGGCAGGGAGGTTAACCAGACACACATGCGGTTTGCTACCCTGCACTGGGGAAGGGATGAAGGGGAGAAAAGAGGTTGCAGAAAGATGATAAGGTACACAAAATCACGAGCACACTCCGGGAGCACACACAGTCTACAGGCGGTCGCTCAGGTTTGTTGACTTCAAGTAAAGTAGCAGTGCTTTACTCGCTTTCTGCGCAACTGAGGCACATGCCCAAGGTCCTAGTATCTTTTGCACACGAAATGGTCCGGGGTCAAGTTGATTCAAAACCATCCGGAGCTGGCATCCCTGTGTGTCGTAGCAAGCGCAGCTGCACAGGACGTGTTCGATGGTCTCTTCAGCTCCGCAGTAGTCGCATGTAGAAGTGTCTGCCATACCAATGCGAAAGGAGTACACCTTTGTAAATGCAACACCCAACCAAAGGCGGCATAACAGTGTCGCATTGGAGCGAGAAAGTTGTGATGGTAGCTTTAGCTTGAGCGAAGGATCCAGTTCATAAAATTGACACCTTTGGAAGCTGGTTGACGACCAGAACGTGCGTGTGAGATGTCGAGCCAGCAGGTAAAGTTGTCTTGCTGCATCATTCCTTGATAGAGGAATCGGGACTACACGGGTTCCTTCATGGGCTGAGCGGGCTGCATCATCGGCTAATTGATTTCCGGTAATACCGATATGCCCAGGCAGCCATTGATATATAATATCATGCCCTCGTGCTAGAGCTTCATGATGGCAATGTCTTATTTCACGTACCAATTGTTCATGATCAAAAATAAATGCACATGTTGACAGTCAGTGCAGGTTCTGTTTGGTCTTTCTTGTCTTCCCTGTATTAAAGGCGTGGTGTCACTATTAAAGGTTTGCTCCCCTAGTCACCTCAGGGGGGCACCAAGTCACATTTGGTGCAGATTCAGGGCACTTCCGGTAATACTTTCTTCTGCTCCATGCGGAGCAAGTCTATTTCATAAGCGGATTCAGACAGCTCCCTGTATGTTCCATTGGCACATCTGGAGCAGCTTCATCGCGAGATCCACTCCATGGAGCAACTTTTTCTACTCTGTGACAATTGCCGGATTTGACTGGAAGTTGCAAGCACCCCATACCTTGAAACGGTGCCAACTTTGGACGCGCCAACGGATGCCGATCCCATCAGTTGCACTTCACGTTGGAGCACACGTTTTACTAGAGTAGCGTCGCTGTGTTCGGCGTGCCCACTAAGGCCACAAGAGAGACGCGCACATCGTGTTCCATTCTGACCCTGCAATTTTCTCCAGAGGGAGCGCATGTGTTCCACTGATAGATTCCCTTCCCTTGCCCTCCGTGAGTGTGGAGTGCTCTGGCGCAGAGTTTGTGGGTTACTCTGAATCCACAAATGAATGACGGCAATTGACATAACACGGAGGGTTGGGGGACACTGCGATGAACCTTCACCTCCCTAGAAGGAAGAACCCTGTGCACAAGTATGCTCACTACAGGTCTGGTGTGACGTCACTACAACTTTCGCTGCACTAGTGATGCACTTTCGATGCACTAGCGATGGGCTTCGATCTGGAGAATGAGCATTTAGGTACACTTTGGAAGTGAATTAAAATATATTATAAACACTTGCTGTGTATGACCATCGTGTGGATTGTCCTTGCATACAGAGGAAACCCAAAAGAGGCTTGTTATAGCCTTGAAACGGGATGAAATAACCCATTTAATTGTGGTTTTCTACTAATATATGATACTATATATCTATATATATCTATATCTGATACTATATCTATATATATCTATATCTATTTATATATACTATATATACCAAGAAGTTGAAGTTCATGCATTTTTAACTCTATTGATATTTTACAGACGCACGAGCTGACGTCAATTACGTCAATTACCATCAGAAATGACCTGTGTAGGAGATATGACTAAGAACTTGTTTCGAAATGGCAACGTTAAGCTGGCATCCTGTTCAACCCCCCCCCCCCTCCTTAATTATCTAAGAAGTACACAATGCTGTGCTAGTTCGTTCATGGTCTAGTAAAAGTCACAAACGTATCGCTGTTCTGCGCAAGGAATAAACGACGCAGGTGGTTAAAGGGAGCGCACGAACAGCCATACTTCTGTTGCTTGTACTTGGAACTGCTCAGCTTCTCGGCCCTGCGGGAATAAATTTCACGACTGCGGCACGCGTTATTTTGAAAAACCTGATCTAGAGTACTAACACAAACGCAGCATTCCAAGTCGTAGCGAGCACGAGCAGAGACTGACCCGAGCACGCTGGTGTTGTAACTTCGGCGCACGACGTCGGCGGGCTGGCTCGTCGCGCCCGTCGGCCCGGCGGCGGCCGACGACTCCTCCTGAGACAGCGTGCTCAGCGTGAGCGACGGGTTGCGGCTGTGCAGCGGCCGCTGGTCCTCGTCCTCAGCCGGGCTCACGGTGGCCAGGGTGTCCTGACTGCATGAAGCGTTGCCGCCCACGCACGAGCGCAGGATCCCGCCGCCGGCCGCCGAGCTGGTGCGAGAACGGTAGCTCGGAGGGCGGCTGGGCTCGCGCTCGGCCGAGCTCGGGAACGACAGCGGAGGCCTGCAGAGAGAGCATGTCTTTTGACAACGGTTCAGCAAAACTGAGAACAAGCACACGACCGGCAGCCCTCATCAATCACGCTGTCAAAGCACCTAGGAAAAAAAAAAGAATCAATTAGCACCGAATAAAGTTCCCATTGAAAACAAAGATGAAAAAGGACAAACCCTTTATGACGAGTCTCAGCATGACGTCAATGGTCTTAATGTGCCTTTTCTTATTATTTTATTTCCGGCCACATTAGCACAACTAATCTTTGTGGAACCCTCTGGGCCCTTGGAGTACTGCATTTTCACCGTTTAAGCGATAGAAACGCACAACTGTCGCTTGTGATAACTAATTGTACAAGAGATAAAAGGCGGGAATTACCTGCGTGTTTTTTCGCTTGCAAAGCATTTTGTTGTAACGGCAATGGTGCTATCAGTTTTTTGAAAGGGCAACTTACTGACCAAGAAAGAAATCGTCTTTATCTTGAGCAGCGAACTCACACATGCGCCAACTCACTCGGATCGAGTCTGCTGAGTCAGTCCACTGTAATATTTTGGTGAGTTCGATTGAAGGAAAGTTTCGCAAGCGTGCGTCCACGTCCAGCTCAGAGTAAATTTCGTGAGTCCGTGATGTGAGTCCAAATTAGGCGCAAGACGTATTTATTGAGTGAGTTCAAGTACGTGAGTTCCACTTTTTTTTTGCCGGCCTATGGATGTATATGTATACATATTCATCATTTAACTATCAACCTGCTAGGATTCACGTTTATACTTGCATCTACTCATACGTATACTCATACGTATTCTAAATCAGTATTGTTCATACACAATTTAAATATTCATTGATCAGATTATTCACATATGGGGTGCCTGGGCTTCCACCCCCCAAACTCTTCCAGGGAAATTCGTGATGAATATATATTATGTTCTCTCTTCCAAGAATAATGTTCTTACTGGTTTGGTGCCACTTATATAACTCGCATTCGGAAAAGGCGCCAATAAGAACGACGATGATTACGTGATATACTTGTGCTAGAGAGCATTGACATGCATGTTTGAAAAAGCTCCTTCTACGCTAACGGATTCATGAGGCAACTCATCACTCGGACTAAGTATGACTCAGATCGAACCATGAGTCTGAGTGAGTCAGGTTGAAGAAAATTTTCGTGAGTGCGGGTTCAGTTCGGTGAGTCCGAGTTCGAAGCTCCAAGTGCGAAATATATTCCATGTGTGAATTTGAGTGAGCTTCGCAATTTTTGCTGACCTATGCTCTTCAGCAGAAATGAGCCTATCACTGCTGCAAGCACCACACCTTCGGTGGGTGTGTCGCAATGATCACATGTCACGGCAGAAGCTGGAATGACAAAGACAGCAAGAACCGAAGTGACAGAGAGAGAGGCCAACACATGCCTCGAATAGCCCGAATAAATGTCAATGGGAGAAAAGAAAGGTAACTTTATTCTTTATTAACTTGGCAGAAAGATTCCCCCTCCATTTCAGAGGAGGTGAGGACCCAACCTAGACGATGGCCATGACCCTGTGGGCCCTGACGGTGTCTTCGGCCTACCCTAACTAAATTTTCACTTCTGTCTTGAATCGCTCTGTAGCAGATAATTTGCAGGCTCAGGCCTGGAGCAGCTTGCTCCACAACGCACCGAAGAAGCAGGTTACATTTCCATTCAGACACATGGTTAATAATAATGAACTCACGATTTGCTTCGCCGACGTTAGCGATGAGCAACACACAGATAACAATCATCGGGACAGAAATTCACCATAGTGCAGGATAACGATGATCGACAAGCAAACGCGGTAGCGACAAAGGTTCAGAAGGAAACACGGAAACGCGTTGCCGATCACGTCCGAATTTTCGAGCACTGTCCGCGCTATCACGCGGCATAATTTGTTTTTGCAAACGTGATTTCTACTCGACCATTCCATGGTCGACAAAGACAGGCTGCTTTGTATCATACCCACTGTTAAGTGTGTACCGATTCGTCGGTTTTCCCCGAAGTGTGCGACGGCTTCTGTCTTTCGGCCCTGCTCGGATCAAGAGGATACACACTCCACCTGTCTGGAGATCGGGGCACGCCGCAGAAGATTATCCCGCACCAGACACGGAGAGGGGGGGAGGGCGAGATCGGTCATTAGCGAGGAGTGGCGGCCCAGCAGAACCGGAAGGGGCCAGCGCGCCCGCACGGAAACAAAGGGCCGCGAGAATGGAGAGCGCGCCCTGTCGGCGATCGAAGCAGCCTGGCACCGATTACGTCCGCCGCCGGGTCACATCTGCCCGCCGCCATTCTCCTCGACCGGAAGGAGCGCTGCATTCCGACAGCACCACGCGTCACCCTCGAGCCGGGCCGCTTCCGACAAAACTCGCCCCACTGTAACCACACGGTTGCACCATATAGGACAGTGATGGTTTAATCTTCGTGCGTATAACCTCGGATAGTTTTACCACTCTAATATATATATATATATATATATATATATATATATATATATATATATATATATATATATATATATATATATATATATATATATATATATATAATGAAGTCTGTTTATTTGAGGAAAGACCTCGCAAAACGAACGGGCAGAGCCAGTACACAGACGATGACGATGATGATGACCCAGAGTGGCAATGAGGACAATAATTCCCCCCCCCCCCCCCCCCTTGGAAGCGGACACCCTGGCCGCCGTAAGTCGAAGTGACGGGGAACCTCGCGTGAAAGGTTTCATGCGACAAACGTGGACAATCTCTGTGCTGCGGTAGCGGCGGTCTGTTGGGGTGACGAGTGGTGTGACACGATAATTAACTGGCGAAGTCTGTTCTAAAACAGTGTATGGCCCAATGAAGCGTGGTTGGAATTTGTCACAAAGACCAGGAGTGCGAATAGGTGTCAAAAGCAGCACCTCGTCACCAGGTTAGAAAGACACAACGCGGTGGGATTCATCATAGATGATCTTCCGCTCGTGCTGTCTCGCTTCAGTATTGATGCGAGCCTGATGGCGAGACTGGGCCAGGCGGGAAATGTATTCTTCGCTAGAAGACTGGCATGAATTCCCATGGCTGTTAAAGAAAAAGACGTCGAGAAAGGTAGTTGGGGTGCGTCCGTACACGAGGTAAAACGGTGAGTAGCAAGTTGTTTGCTGAACGGCGGTGTTGTAAGCGAATGTCAGGAATGGTAAAAGAGTATCCCAGTTTTTGTGGTCGGGTTGGACGTAAACGGCTATCATGTCAGCAAGGGTTCAGTGAAATCTTTTTGTGAGACCATTTGTCTGAGGGTGGTAGCTTGAAGCTGTTTTGTGAGTAGTTCCAGAAGCGCGCAGTACTTCATTTACCATTTGTGACAGGAACACTTTGCCGCGGTCACTAAGCAGTACACGAGGAGCCCCATGACGCAGTATTATTGCGTGAAGAATAAAGTCTGCAACTTCCACAGCTGAGCCTGTAATAACAGAGGAAGTCTCAGCGTAGCGTGTCAGGTGGTCCACGGCGGTCACTATCTATCGTTTGCCAGCAGATGTGACGGAGAGAAGCCCGAAAAGGTCAACACCTACAACCTCGAACGGCATTGAAGGGCACGGAAGTGGCTGTAGAGGTCCAGCAGGTGCAGATGTGGGGAGTTTACGACGCTGGCATGGGTAGCAGGAGCCGACGTACCGCGCTACACTAGAAGAAAGGCCAGGCCAGTAATAACGACATCGAATGCGGTCAAGATTTTTTTTAAAACCAAGATGACCAGCAGTCAAATCGTCGTGGAAGGCTTCGAGCACCTGAAGTCGAAGAGAGCGTGGCAGTACAGGAACCCAGCGCTGACCGTCAGGGTGATAGACGTGGCGGTAGAGAACCCCATTATCCAGCTTAACGTGCAGGAGCTGACGACGGAGTCGCGCGTTGGGTGGATGAGAAACTCCCGAAAGGTGGTCCATCATGCGTCTGCAGTATGAATCGGACCACTGGTGGGAGATAAATGTTGGCTGGTCGTCCGAAGAGGGTTGCCTTATTGATGCGAGCGTATGAACTTTGTTAGATGTGGCGGTTGAGTTCTCACCAACGCTGATATGGGTAGTTGGAAGCGGGCAACGAGATAAAGCGTCGGCGTCTTGATGTTTTCTGCCCGACTTGTAAGTTATGTCAAAGTCGTACTCCTGCAAGCGTAGTATCCACCGACCCAAGCGTCCGGACAAGTTCTTCAGTGTAGAAAGCCAGCATAAGGCACGGTGGTCCGTAACGATTGTGAAGTGACGGCCGTGAAGATAGGGACGGAACTTCTGGACCGACCAAACCACAGCCAAACACTCTTGCTCAGTTATAGTGTAGTTCTTTTCGGCAGGGGTGAGTACGCGACTGGCATATGCAACAACTTTCTCTAGGGAAGACTTGTCGCGTTGTTGAAGAACGGCTCCTATACCAAGGCCGCTAGCGTCGGTATGGAGGATAGTCGGTACGGCTTTGTCAAAGTGGCAGAGCAGAAGTTCAGACGTGAGTGCCCGCTTCAACAGGTCGAATGCCGTTTGACATCCTTGAGACCACAGAAAGGGGACGTTGGAAGCAAGTAGTTGGTGTAATGGAGCAGCAATAGAAGCGAAGTTCTGGATAAACCGGCGAAAGTAGGAGGCGAGGCCAAGGAAACTGCGACGCTCCTTTGGTTTTTCGGGACGCGGAAAGTGAAGGACTGCAGAAATCTTGTCAGGGTCGGGCCGGATGCCATCTTTGCTAACGACGTGTCTCCTAAGACCTTGATAGATTTGCTAGCGAAAGAGCATTTCTTAGTGTTTATTTGAAGCCCGGCGCCGGCAAGGCACGTCAAAACTTGATCCAATCGTTCTGGGTGCTGAGGGAACGTTGACGAAAAGAGAATAATGTCGTCCAGGTAGCAAAGGCAACTTTTCTATTTCAGGCCACGCAGCACGGTATCTATCATGCGCTCAAAAGTCGCGGGTGAGTTGCAGAGCCTGAAAGGCATTACGTTGAATTCATATAGCCCGTTGGGGGCTGCAAATGCCGTTTTCTCCTTATCGTCTTCATGCATGGTCACCTGCCAGTACCCAGAACGCAAGTCG